GGTAATGACACAACCTATAAAGACAATTTTATAAATAAAGCAAGCAAATTATACCCAAATCTAAATAAATACCAAAAACTGTAAAAGGAAGCAACAAAATGGGATGATTTGGTTCCTACGTAGTGTTTATGCAAGCTAGGGACCTGAACAAAAGAACTGAGTTTATCTTTACAACTACAAAACAGAAATTCTATTGGTTCCTTTGAGCTGCGAGACTTAATTTGTCAAAATGGAGACTCCGGTCTGTAAAAATCTATACAAAAATAGTAGTCTAGAAATGCAGTTGAAGTACAAAAAAACCCCCAAAATGCACCATTTTGAAATTGCAGACAAAAACAATGTTTTTTGTCCCGAGTTAATACGTGAACACAAAAATAACTTTTCAGAAAAGTGCAAATATTTTTTTTCTTTACAGCACAGTTGTTTTTCCTTTCTCCTGCTAGTGAAGGGCTTCTACTTTGCTCCATAGGATTAAAGGCCGATTTATAGTCCTGTCACTGGCTGTGAAGATAAATGCCGCTTGATATCTGCTGCTTGAGTGCCGTTTTGCTTGCACACTGAACATTGCAAATAAAACTGTGAACAAGAGCTAGGTAGAATTTTTAATGAGGTCACACCACACTGGAATGTTCATGAACATTCCACAAATGCCACGGAACAACATAATTAGACAGCGGATTATGAACTGGCCTTCAGTCTGGGCCAATTGGTGTATTTGTGTGGAAGACGGGCTTTTGTTTACATCCGTGGCTGTTTCTGTGGAGGGGTCATGCGTTCAGCCAGGCCGAGTCTCTGAAGCTCAGAATGGAAGAAGGCCTGGAGCCGTAGACCGGCCTTTGCTTCGTTGGTGTTACTTGGGTTGTACTCCAGACAGTTGGAAAACATGAGCTCCACATCCTTAATATACTCTGCTATGAGATTAATAACACAAAAGAAACTACATTCAGCAATGATTCATGTTGTGCGATTCTATCAAGCTATTAAAGTGGTTTAGATATGGTCCATTCTAAATTACGTCTTGATATACTCAAGTGGATATTTCAACTTGTTTAAAAAGAAAAAAACGTCAACCTTCAATTCTTACCAGCAGTTTGGTATTCACAGTTGTTGACCTTTTCCCTGATTGTGCTCAAGGCGATGGGTTTTTTGATTATGTCATAGTAATCGGGCACCTGGAAAAATGTGTGCAATAAAAGTAATTAAAACCATGAAAATAATGCCTCAATGCAAAACTGGGATAGTGAGATGTCACAGAACAACTGCACAGATTATTTAGGAGTACAGCTGGTCGTAAAGTAACCATGAATGGGAGCTCCATGGCCGTGTTACAGAGAGGTATAAGTGTGGACATCTAAATGCACTACCTGAGTTCTAGACACCAGTTTCTTGAAGGGCCAGCTGTCCTCGTGTCTGACCAGGTCCACAGTGAGCAGCTCACAGGCTGACAGCTCGTGTACGCCTAAGTTTCTCACTGAGCTTCGACGGTTGGATGAAGTGGTGGTTGGAGCCAAGACGATCTTGGCTTTTGGGGAGACCTCTGCTGGAGAAACAGTGGCAAACCAAAATACATGTGAACAAGAAGTCTTAGAGAAAATGAAACGGGAAAAACAACAGGTGTCTGCATTCAGTTAAATATCAAGTATGCCATTTTTTCAGTGTCATTTTCTTCAATCCAAGCCTAATATAAAATTTGGGGAAAAAACATTGGCATTTACATGGAATTTTGTTCCATTTGTTCCCTTTTTTTTCTCATACTGTATCCTATAAAACATTTTTTCCGTCACAAGATAAAAACGGCAATCATGTCTTTTTCTCACAATTGTGACTTTTACTCAAATCTTAGTTTTTATCTCCATTTATTTTTTTGCAAAAAAAGAGAAGTCAGAATTGTGAGAAAGTCTCAATTAGCTTTTTTTATTTTTCATTATGTTCCTAAACAAGGAAAAAAAGTAATTACAATGTCAGAATTCTGAGAAAGTCAATTGCGAGATGTAAATAGTTTATAACTTGCGATTGAGAGACACAAACTCTCAATTCTAAGAAAAAGTCAGAATCGTTACATATAAACTTGCAATTTCACGAAAAGTAGTCCAAATTGTGAGATTACCATTTTTATTTTTATTCCATGCCAGAAATAAAATTGTGAAATGTATACATACAATTGTGAGTAAATTTTATTTTGCATTCTGTGGCGGAAACAAGCTTCCAGAGTATCCTACTTTGATGTGATGTAGTAAATTAAATTTCCTTTATGTTAATCAGATTTTTTTTTTTTTTTGTGAATTCACTGATACTCCTTACCAGTAATGGGTCTCTTCCTAGAGTCTGTATTTTCTGCTGCAGGACTGGACTGGTTGGATTTGGCTGTTGTGCCATCGGCGGGCACCTCTAGACTAAGACGAGCACTGGAGCGGCTTCCTGCCCGGGGAGGGGGTTTGCAATTAGACACCGGGGTAGACTTCTTCCCTGAGTTTTTGGAGCCTCCTTTATTAGTAGCAGGCTGGCTCTGTTTGGGTGTGCTCTGCTGCGAGCGAGGCGTGGAATGACTTGATTCGGCCTGTTTTGATCTGGTGTTCAAACGACCTCTTTTATTGCTCTGGAGAGGAAGTTTGACAGGAGCCTTCTTGGACACACTGTTAAATAAATGAGAAAAAAATAACAACTTTCACAATATCCTTCTGCATGAAATGAGTAAACCGGCAAGAAAAATGATCAAAATAAAAAAAAAAGCCAAGTCCACTAACTCTTCCTCCTCTGACTGTTCTTCTTCCGACTCAACTTCTTCCTCTTCTGATTCTTCTTCCTCTTGTTCAGACTCCTCCTCTTCCTCCATATCTTCTTCAGAGTCAATAGAGGAACGCTGACGTGAGTTGATTCTGTGGGAGCGCTGTTTGGGGCGGCACTCAGGGCAGAACCAGTCTTCAGAAGGAACAGCCTGTAAAACAAATTAAGGAAGATCAAAACTTTCATCTTAAACTCAGAAGTTTAAGAGATTTTCTATTTACCAATAAATATACAATAATTTATTAACAGATTGCTGATATACATGTCTATTTTCCTTTCCTTTTTTTGTCCTTGGCTGCATGTGTTAGTTTATACGTACACACTTTACGTCTGCATGGCAAGTCAGGGTTTATGAAAAAGAACAGTTAATAAGGTGTCCACTAAATAAAACCTTCCCAAAACTATGGTTCTCACCTTCAGTTTTGGCCGAACACAGAAGATGTGATAGCCTCGGTCACAGGCGTCACATAGAAGCATGTTCTCAGCGTCTCCTTTCCTACGGCACACCTTACAACGGGCATTGAGGATGGATTTGGCCCAGACTACACTGCGCTCAAGTGTGGAGAGATGCAGGAAGACCTGCGACAAGCTGGAGCAGGCCAACAAAGACTCACGCCAGCGTTCTTGCACAGTCTTCACCTGCCGCCCACTTTCACTGCCATCTGTTGAGGAAAACAGGTTTAGTAATGATAATTTAAACCAACATGTGCTTAAAGAGAAAACACTTTCAGTTTTTTGGTAAACAAATCTTACCATCTTTCTCACTGGACTGGTCGTCATCTTTCTTTTTATCCCTTTTCTTCAACTTCTGGTCTTTCTTGGCATCGTCATCACCTGATTAAAAACAAAACATTCAGAAATAAGAGCCTGTGGATTAATTAATTCAAAAATGAAAAAAACATGTTCCTACAAACAAAATTATCCATATAGTTTTCAGGAACACACACTTAAGCCGCCTTTCCACGGTCTCCAACATTTGAATACGATTGTCGCATTCCTCCCCCTGGTGGCAGTCGCACAGAACTTTCAACTTACCTCAGCTTATTCACCATGGTAAAACGAACGATTTTAATGAATATAATGAATGCATGAATATATCCATACAAAACAACCACCAAATAAAAACACCGTAGTTTTTAGTAGGCTTTATGGGGAAAATCAACGTTAATAATGATTTAATAATGATAAAATAATTATTTCTGCCATAATTATTCTAAACCACCATTTTACAGAAATGGTGCTTACAGAATAACGTTAAAATGGAAAAATATGGGTAATTCTAACCTCGCACTCAGTTTTGATTAGAATACATCACATCCGGTTGGGCGGCCGCATACGGTCTAGCTGCAGAAGTTCAAATATTTTAATGCATCCGAAGCTCAAATCAGATCTGAAATTTCCGCATATGCATATGACTGGAGTTCCACGCAGCTCCCGCACAACTCTACATTGGAAATGAATGACTTCCGGTCTATCACTTGTCATTTGTCAGAGGTAGTGGAAAGGCGGATTTATACCCTCAAAGTTTCAGAAGAACCATAGAAGTAACAGATCTTACCTAGCGGAGCTTTCAGGAACTTGCGCTCTATGCCCTGCTCTATCTGTGCAAGAGCCTGTGCCAAAAAGTGGACAATGTTACTGACAGGCTGTGGTGTGCTCACAGTAGTGGACGTGGCACTCTGACCCTCTGCCTTTAAATCTTGCAGCCTAAAAACAAGAAAAACACCATCAATTCACACAATCGCAGACACTACTG